AATAATATAAGAAAAGAAATAAAAAATAAATAAGAAACAGAAGTACATGAAGAGAAAAGTAGTGTTGCATTATCTTTATAAAAAAGGTCTGTCTTTTCTAACTTACAAAAAGGGCTTGTATTTATATCTATTTTACTATATATATTGACATATCTAATATGTTAACTATGTTAACTATACAGTCAATTCTTGATATAGCGAACTTTTGATATAACAAATTTTTTGAACAAATATAATAAAAATACTCTTGTTATAGTGAATGGGCCAATCAAATCTTTTAAAATCTTCACTATAGCCTTATAGCGAAGTTGAGATCTAGGATATAGAGTTCATTATAACAAGATTTGACTGTATAAAACATATCTAATATATTAGATATATTAATTATATTAAACATGTTAAATATGTTTGATATGTTTGACATTGTTAACATTCTATACTCTGCTATACATTTGTAAATCTATAATTATCAAGATCATCACCTAGTTATAATAGTAATAATATAATCTAATTTAAGTAAAATACTATTATGTAAGATAATTATAATATATAATGATATTCTATTACTTTTTATTTTAATTATAATTTTAATTTTATTTAAAATCAAATTTTTTTTTTCAAAATCTTAAAAATTACTATTGTATAATATATATATATATTCAATATTAATATTATTTTATATAAATCAATAGCATCTTATTAATATTTAATTTAATTAATTATTATATTTAATATATTATATTTATAATTATAAATTCTAAACTTATAATTAATAGAAATAGATTTTATAAATATCATTAATTTTAATATTATTAAAATGTGATTTTTTAAGATTTATATCTTTAGAAAAATCCTTATTATTATAATTAAATATATTATTAATATATAATTATTTCTATAACTTTAATAATATGATAAATTTTTTATTTTGAATGATAATACATAATTATTATAAGTTAATATTATTATATAACTTTTATAAATAATATATAAATATCAAAAATATTTTTTTAAATTTAATATTATATTTTAAAAATTATTATATTAATTATATATATAAAATTTTAAGTAATTTCATAAAATAATTTTATTTTTTAATTTGTATAAAATGCATTTTCTTAATTAAAAAAATTTTTATAATCATATATAATATAAATAATTTATTATTAATTAATTAATAAATAAAAGCATTTTTTGTATCATTATTTTAAAATAATTTTTTATAAGATATATTTTTGTAATTTATTATGTTTACTAATTTTATTATATAATTCATTTATTTCATTATTAAAATTTAAAGGAATAATATAATCAGAATCTAATGTTTTAACTTTTTGATTATATTTTTTAACATTTTTTATTTTTTATTATCTATTTTAGCAAGTATAGTGGGTTTTTTCTATGATTGACTAATCATACACTAATATGATTAGCTAATAATAAATCATGTAACTATTCATTTTAATAAAAAATTTAAAAATTTAAATTTTTTAAGCCTAAAATCATTAATATTTATATAAAAATATTATGTAAAAAAAATCAAATTATCTTTAACAAATAATAAATATATTAAAATATTTTTTTTATTAAATTATATTAATCTTTTCTTATATTTATATAAATAAATAAGTCTTAAAAATATATATTAATATATAATTTCAAATCTTAATCTCTTTTTCTGTTTTTTTATATATATACATATAAATATATTACAAAGAAACCCTTATTAACTAAGTTCTTAATTATCTTGCTTATTATCAATTACTTTAATATTTATAAAATAGAAAGTATACTTTAGAAATATTTTATTGTAACTTTTGCAAGTTTATTTCTATAGCTATGAATTTATTTAAAGATAATGATATTTTTTTTTATATAAATTTAATATGTAACAATTATTTTGAAAATTAACTAATCAAACTATGCTATTTTAGCATAATTAATAATATTAGTTAATAATGCTAAATAAAACTGAAATATTTAATCATTTTGATGAAACTGAAATTATTTAGTCTTAATAATTAAAAACTGAAATGCTAAAACTTTATTTTTATAGATTTTTATAAATTATTCATAATTGTAACTTATTATTTTTAATAATATTTTATTTACTATAAATTTTAGAATTTAGAATTTTTACTATTTATTATATTTTGTTTATTATATAAGAAGTTTACTAGAAATCAGATTCTAAGAAATTTTTAATAAAAATTTAAATTAGCAATATATTCTGATTATATGTTTAATTAATAATAAATAATAAAAAATTTAAGTTAAAATTAATAAATATAAATAATAATATATTTTTTAATAAAGATAAAATAAATAAATAATTTTAATTATATATTATAAAGCAATTTTAGGTTTAGTTATTTAATCATTTGCTAAAAGTTTAATCAAAGGTTTAAACTTTAATCATAAGTTTAATCAAATATAAAATTTAACAAAAGCTTAATTATAATAAAATAATTTAGATAAGTATCACTAATTTAAACTATTTAGATACATTATAATCTAAATAATTACAATATAATTTAGCTATATTATAGTCTTATTAATTATATTATAATCTAATTCAAGTTATATTAAAATAATTGTAATAAAATAATAATAATTAATTAATTATAAATAGTAAATATATTAATATAATAACTGATTTATAAAAATTAATTAAATATGATTTATTATAATTAATATATAATTAAATATGAATAATTTATAGAAAAGTAAATTACAAAGAAGAATTTTATTTATTTATTTTTAAAATGCAAATATAATATAAAATATGTATTTAATGTAATTTTATAAGTTAGTTAAAGTAATTTTTTTTCATGATTTATTAAATTCCTAGTTTAATACATTAATATAATAAAAAATATAAATATAAAATATTTTTTTTTTTATGCAAATATATTATAAAAAATAATTTATTTTTAAAGTTAAACATAAATCCCAACTTCAATTCAACCTAAACATTACAAATACAAAAATAATTAAGATAAAAACCCCCAAATTAAATTCAACCTAAAAATTACAAATACAAAAATAATTAAGATAAAATACAAATAATAATAATAATCATATACTACACTTCTAGATATAGTCGGATAATTTATAAAAAAAAAATTTATTTCTAAAGTTTTTTTTTTTTATATACAATGGACCAATTTGATAAAGACAGATCATCTTTACATTACCAAGACTGATTCTACTTAGAAAAAATTAATGAGAATCCATAATATCCATTTTACTTAAACCGGTAACCACTTCGTGAAATTGAACATCATCCTGATTTTGTATTTTTGCATCTTGATGATTATAATAATACACATCCTCCAACGTAGAATTAGGATCTGATGGCGCATGATGATCATCGTAAGATGACATCATCACATTTGAATTCATGTGATTTACAACTTCTTGGTGGCAGAAATTAGGACCACTAAAAGGATTTGTATTTGTTGGAGTTGTAACACCTGAAGACAGTGGAGAAAAACTATTTACATTTATATTTACTTGTGGTTGAGTAATGGGATTGTAGTCATTATTATAACATTGTTCAGTATAATAATGATGAGTAGTATAAAGTTCATCGTGATGATTATGAAAGAAATAGCCAGTCTCTCGGGCAAAGAAATCATCCTTTTCATAATGAGTCCCATTGCCGGTAGTTGTAGGGCCACTTAATACTAATGGTGTAATTGGGGTCATTGGTGATGATATTGGACGAAGTAACGGACTTGAACCTGGTGTATTTAGAGAAGGTGTTGATGATGAACTTGGTGATATTAATATACTGGAAGTGGATGTTGTAACGAGGTTCGTTTGAATAGGATGCATTTTTACTCTTTTGCTAAAATTTTTGATAAAGAAAAAATTTTTTTTTATTTTGGTTATTTTCTTTTTTTATTTTCTTTTTTTTTAAAAAATATTTTTTATTTTGTAAAATGTACCTTTTAAAATTTATTTGATAAAATGAAACAATCGATTATTAAAGAATATATTATTATTTTTTTAAAAAAAAAAAAAGAAAAAGGAAACCTAGAATGAAACCTTTTCTCCTTATTTATATATACTTTCCCATAATATAAGCACAAAAAAAAATTCAAACAATATCTTCTACAACAAAACATCATTTTTAAAGTAATACATATATAAAATAATAATGATATCATACGATAAACTGCGTAATTCATAAAATTTTTTTTGTGGGGTGAACGTTCAGAACTGTCGTCTGTTGATTGATTCGGTTGATTTGTTGATAATAATATGTTTTACGGTTTTTTAAATACTTTTCCCTCCTTTAAAGCCACACATTCTGAAAATATCCCCCACTAATTTCCAAAAACTTGTATTAAAGTGACGCAATTACATGATTTTAGTGTGATTTCTATCTGATCTATGCTTTGTATTACATAAATACTCCACATTATTTACATTATTTATACAATATGCATAATGCGAAACTTTAGACAATTTCTGTTGCTTACAACACATGTATGTGGTATGGTGAGACCAAAAAAAAAATTTATCACTTACCAGAAATTTTTTCTAATTCTCCTAATGTTCCCCACCTGCGAATGCATTTTATATTATGTAAATATTTACTTAAGTTACACGGGATAAAAATATTTTTTTATGAAGTGATTTTATTATATTACACAAAATAAAATAATAAGCAAACAAGAGAAAAAAAGGTGATGATGGAGGAGGAAAACCTTTTGATGAATTACTTTTTAAAGTTTAGTTCTTTTTAGCTGATAGCAAGTAAAAATACTTGTATAGAACCACGTTGTATTTCTCATTGACATTTAAACAAGGGTCTGTGCTTCCTTTTATATTTGAATCAAATGACTAAGGGTCTAACGATCACAGGATATCATTTTCATGTGATCAACAAGCTGACATTTATTACTACGCCTCACTTAAAATAAATTTTCGTTTAAAATTAGTCTCACATTTTTTACAAATTGATCTTTCTTTTCTCCTTTTGGAAATCTACACAAATATTTTGGCCATACGATATCATTTAATTCTACTTCTTCATCCGCAATCTTCCTATATGGGATCACACTATATTCTTCAACTAATCCCCTAAGTATTAACCAAGTAGCATTGGAATTTCTCTTGGCAAGCTCCTTAAATAATTCAATTGTTAAATTTTGAAGATTTTCATGAACTTTCTCATTTAAAAATGGCCACATGTGATCCATAATTTGTAATATAACCTGATTAGATAACGCCACTTTACTAATTATTGTTTTTATGGTTTCCAATATGGACTTTTTCAATCTATGAGATCTAGAATATGTTGTAGGTGATATTCCAATATATTCTTTATCTTTCGTATCTTGATGATCTAACAATTGCTGAAATGATGGCCATACGTCTTGAACTACTCGGCTTGTAAAAAAATCCCCACTTGAAATTGAAATTCCTTGGATAAGTCTTACTGCACTAAGAACAACGTACGATTCTTGATCCTTTAATCGTTTAACGACCGATGGCCATATTCTATGTATTAGCGGATATAGCTCTTTTGGAATAGATTGCAAGATTGGAAGTGAAATCCTAATAGCATCCAAAACTATTGAACGTAATTGTGGTGATGCTGCTGCGAGGAAGTGAAGTAGTTTGTCAATAATCTGGAGACAAGTTGATTGTGATTGTGTCGGCTTTGGTTTATTATCTTTATCTTCTTTTTTATGATGATTTACACTTGGCTCATGTTCTCTTTGAATGTCATCATCATCAACTTCCAATTCATCTTTTAAATTTTCTTTCGATTTTTGACGTTTCAAAAAATATTGTCCAATTTCCTCAAGAGTTGCATTGTAATTCGGGTTTTTAACTTCAGGGGTTTCCCCTTTTTTATACTGCTTGACAAATTCTGCAATCTCTATAGATATTCCGACTTCATTTTCTTGCGAACTGGAGTTATCATCAACTTCCTCTTGTAATTCCTTCTTCTCTCCCTCTACAGATTCAGAGATGGCAACAATAACTGCAAACAATACATTTGCTAATTGATTCAATAAATACGAATTCATATGATGCGCATCCAAAGCATCAAAGATTTCTTCTATTGAATCATCCAAAAAAGTTAACAGGGGCGGTCCAACTACACGGATCATGGCAGTGAGAACTTGAGGAGTCCGAGGATTAACGATAATTTGTGAGAGTTTTCGAGAAACAACATTGACAAGGTAATCTACATTTTCCAATACTAGTGCTCTTTTTGATGAATACCCACACCATACAGAAACGTGAGTCAAAGTGATATCGGCTGTTTCATGTACTAGTCTATTATTTTCTCCAAGTTTTTCTAATATAGGGTAAAGAGCATCTATTAATTCTACTCTAAACTCCCTTCCCAAAATATGTGATATCGCGGCTATGCCCTCCAAAATGAAACAATCGATTAAAATAATACGATTTTGAGATTCCACATTCATGTTGGATGTGGAAAGAATTTTTCTCTCAACAAAATTGCTTTTATTGGATACTGCTTTCGTGGTCGAATCAAAATTATTGATAATGTTGAGTGTTACATCTGACTCTATATATTCCTTTAAAATTGATCTAGCTATTCTTTTCACATCTCGTAATGCATTAACTGGTTTCAAATTTATATAATATTCAAAATTTAAATCTGTCCTCATGTTAATTCCAGCTGCTCCAAGTAAGATTTCTTTAAGAATAAATATACATTGTGCATATAATCTTGTGGATTCTTGGTCTCTGAAATATGCAAGGAAATGATCTATTAAAAATGATATGTTACTAAAATATCCGAGCAATCGAAAAACTGTTGATAAACATGTCTTGACACGTTGTTCTCTAATATGTTTATATTGTGGTTGAGGAAAATGTGGCAAAGTGCGTTCAGAATCTTGAAAAGCAGCATCTGTAGTGATAGCACTTTCATTTTCAATCGTGTCATACTGCCCAGTTAACAATCGATTTTCCACGACTCGAACGTCACCTGTATCAAATTCTAACGCGTTAAGTAACCCATCTGATACCCTTTGCAATGAAATATTCAATACTGTTTGTATGTCTGACCCCAAAAGAGAAATAAACCCTGCTATTAACGATAAAGCATTATATTTTGCATTTTCATCCAACCCGATTAAATATCTTGGTAACGATATAAGCCAATTATTAAAATTTTCTTTTAATATTGGTGTAAAATTTTCCCTAAAATCGGAGTGTGCACGTAATAAATCCAAATTTTGTCGACATGGATTCGATACTTGAACATAATTATCATTTAAATAAAATACAAGAGTTTCGATTAATATAGGAATACAATTATCTAAGCATTTTGCACTACTAGAAAGAAGCTTATATGAAAAATTCACAAACGCTAATCTAAGCTGCCATGCGGAATGATTACGTATTGTGAAAATTTGACACATCAACAGTTTAATTTGTGATTTCGTCGCTCTAAGCCATGACTTTGTTCTTTCTACATAAATGGATGCAAGCGCTGATTGTTGTGATTGTGATGTCTGAGTTGATGTTGTCTTAGATAACGATGAACTTGTTTGATTAGAAAAAGAATCGGTACTGTGAAATAAATCTTTTAAATCGCTTAATGATCCCGTTATAGTAAACAAGCTCTTATTAACTTCATCATTATCGTTCATGACACTAGTAATAATGACGGATAAAGTTTCAACAATCTTTGCTAATAACATATGATTCTCCTTTTGGTCCCTTATTAAAGTTTTACATAATGTGCTAACCATTCCAGGCAAGAAAGCTGCAATAATTCCAAGATCTTCTATGCTATCAACTAAGGATTGCATAGTCTCAAGGGAAGTTAGTCTTAGTTGTAACAAATTTTCATTAGAAATAATTTCCAACAAAACATAAACACAACGACCAATAAGTGCTCTAACTTGAATACTCATTAATTCTTGTAAAATTAACTCACGACGGATTTCAATTTGGAAATGATCTCTATTATCAACATTTTCAAATGATTCAGTGTGTACTGGCAATAATGCCAACATACACTTAACACATGCAAGTTTAGATTCTTCAGAGATAGTAAACTCTGTTAAATATGATCTATTAACAGTTTTTGAATCAAGAGTTGATCCTCCAATAATATTGACGAATACAAGTAGAAGTTGTTTGAATTGATCGGGAACCATATATTTTTTCCAACTTGCTGTTAATAAAAAATGAAGACAATTCAGAAAACCTTCAATAAATCTATTACTTTGCCGTAGAATTGGATTATTATAGAGTTGAAGCAACGGAAAATATACATATTTGATTAAGTTGTAATCAAATATCCTGGATGGGTCCGGAATTGAGTAAAGAATATTGAGCAAATTGTCGATGGTTTGAAAAGTTTCATGAGATTTCGAAGCTGAAACCGATGTAGATTGGATGAGAGATACGCATAGAGGTTTTAACTGATGCAGCATTTCCCATATAAGTTAAATTGCTGTTTTTTTTTTTTTTTGTTCAACAAAAAAAAATGCTTTCGAAGCTGGATATAAAGTTGAAGAGACTCCAACCTGAAGGAATACTGCTTGACGTTGAGTGTCAAGACTATCATCCACCATTTCGAAGTTAATTTCGAGAGAAAAATCAAAAGTTGATTGATAAGAATTCTGATTTATAAATAAGTGAAGCAGCACGGGGGGTGATAAATAGGCATTTATTGGATTTTTACAATATATAGTTGAATTATATGATTAAGGGATGACATATTTCCATGTTCCTCGCAACATTAAATATACGCAGATATGATTATATTAGTAGATTCTTTGGTAATTGTAAATTTAAATCTTATATACATTCTATTATTTTTTACTATTTTTTACTTTTTTAGATTCTTTGAAAAACTAATATGTTTAATTAAGATATGCCTAATTTGCTTCTTTTTGGCTGAATTGATTTTATTTTAAAAACACCTTCATAATAAATTGTTTGTATACGAATTATCCTATTAGAAAAGTAATTTTAAGCTAAATCATTTCTTCAACTGTTATCTGTATCCAGTAAACATTTTTTATATGTTATTTTTAATAAAAGAATTTGTTTGATCAAATTACTAAAGAAAAATACTAACTAAATTTATATTATATTATATCTTTAATTTATTGTATGATTTCTGGTAGATATTATTACATTATTAGAATTTAAAGTTCTAACTCCTTGACTGATAGGGATTTGGACTAGAGTTAGAACTATTAGTAATTGTTAATATTGTAATATTAGATCATTAAAGTATTCAAATAATAAGATTCCAATTCATTTATATTCTGTTGTATTAATTTTATCTGCTATTTTGACTTTCAATATTAATTATATTTTTTGATATATTTTATTTAATAAATTTTATTCTAAAAGTTTCTAAAGCCTTATTATATATAAAAAAATACCTATTTTTTTTTCAGTTTGATTAATAGAAGCTATATAATGTAATTATTTTCTATCCTAAAAAATTTTTTCAAAAGACTAATAAAATAGCATATAGAACTAGTATAATGAGTTTTAGTTATTAAAGCAAATATTTTACCAAATGTTACTAATGTATTTTTTTATAAATTATAATTTCCAATTATATTCTAATTTAATAAGCTTAAAATATTTTAGTTTATTGATAATAAAGATATAAAATTCTAAATGCTAAATTTGCAATTTCATTATTTTTCTAAATCTCATTAATATTAAGCTTTTTTTTTAATATAGATATATATTATTAAAGTTATTATAGTTTATATCAACTTAAGAATATAAATTGTAAATCTATAATTAACAACTGATTCTAATTTTTCTAAAAATTTAACTTATTTAACTTTTTATTTGAAGTTACTATTATTATAATTAAGACATTAAGATTTATCTGATTCTTTTAATTTTTAACAAATTACATATTAAATTAACATATTCATTAAATATGAAATTTGAAAGATAAAATTATAAATAACTTTAATTAGAATAATTTAGATGATGAACTTGATTACAAATTTTATGTAAAGATTAGAGCTCTGAACAGGTCAATTCAGATCAGATCAATCAAATTACCTGAACTGAGAGGACCAGGTCAGGTCAAATAAAAATCTGACCTGATTTAAATTTTCATTTGACCCAATCTGACTTGACTTGATCTGACCTAATCTAACTTAATTTGATTAAATTATTTAAATTATTTAATAAACAATATATTATATTTGATTCAATTTAAAACTCTAATTATTTTGTAATTTTTCTTTTGCTTTTTTTGTAAAAAAATTGTATGTAAAATAATATAAAAATTTTTAATTTGATGATTAATTACAGTTGTACAATTAATTATAGTTATACTAAAAATCAATTTTTCAATCTTTTTTTTTTCTTTTTTTAATAAAAAACACTTTTATTTTATTTATCATAATCTTTAAAAAAACAACCTTATTTTTTAAATACTTAAACTTGTAAGAAC